ATCCGAAATCCGAATCCGAAATAGGCTAAATCCGATCCAATCCGATCCGTGCACAGCCCTAATGTAAGTCCCTCCACAGCTATTCCTGCCCTCGATAGAAAATAATTCCAAGTTGTCTTTGCAGTTTCTGATCTAAAAAACAAGTGCTGAAGAGATTCCTCGTCAGGCTGTACACAACACCAACATTTTGATGGCATGCAGTAGCCTACCCTTTTCAAGAAATCATCTAAAGGTAACTTTGCTTTCCACGCTTTCCACATGAAAAATGCTATTTTAAAAGGCAGTCCCTTTACCCAAATCATCCTATAAGTTGCTCTTGGTTCGTCTCTTCTTCTCGTATAATCCCATGCTGACTTAACACTGAACTATCCTCTTGTTTCCAGCATCCAACAAGGTATGTCCAAAACCTGCTGAGATGAAGGTGGTTTGATTTTCTCCAGAATGTGTACTGCTAAGTCTTCCGGAAGTATTTCAAATAGCCAGTCCACATCCCACTCACCATCTAAGGTAACATCATGTACATTTTGTATTGTTTCATCAATGCCAAAGTCCTGAGGAACCAAAAAATATAGTGCCCCAAGACCTGTCCAGTTTTAAAACCAAAATAAAGTGAGGATCCCCTTTTTGTTTGCCAAAAGATTTGATGTTCAATTAGATCTCTGCATTCCAACATTTTTCTCCAAATGTGAGACCCCCTTTTCCATGGAACAACTACTGAATTCATTTTCTTACAGTATTTCTGACATACGAAAGAGCTCCATAGGCTTGGTTTTGTTCTGAAATTCCACCANATGTTCAATTAGATATCTGCATTCCAACATTTTTCTCCAAATGTGAGACCCCTTTTTCCATGGAACAACTACTGAATTCATTTTCTTACAGTATTTCTGACATACGAAAGAGCTCCATAGGCTTGGTTTTATTCTGAAATTCCACCACAACTTGCTGAATAATGCCTTTGCTACATCGTGCAGTGACCTGAAACCAATTCCTCCTTCCTCAACCGGCATGCATAAGGTATTCCATGAAGCCCAATGCCTACTAGTTCCTCCTACAGAGCTGCTCCAGAAAAACTGAGCAAACAATTTGTGCAACCTATTTATCACATAATTTGGAGGGTTTACAGCTGATAGTAGATGCATAGGCATGCTTTGCAGTACATGGGATATGAGAACTGCTCTGCCCCCTACTGATAATAACTTGCCCTGCCATGATTGTAGATTGTCCATTACCTTAGTAATTAGGGGTTGATAGTATTCCAGCTTTCTCCTTGCATAAAATATAGGGCAACCTGGATATATGATAGGAAAATCATTCCTATTAATGCCTGTGATTCTTTCCACCTTGCTGACTACTTCCATGTCTGTTAAATGATGCAGGTACACAGCTGATTTGGTCTTGTTAATAAGCTGCCCAGATGCATCTTCATATGCATTCAGCACTTGCATAATCATAATCAGGGATGTTTCATTTGAGGATGAGAAAATAATCATGTCATCTGCATACGCCAAATGATTGATCTTTGGACTCCACTTTGGCATCCCATATCCACAAAAATACAGGTTAGTATGTAGTGCATTGAGATCCCTAGATAATGCTTCTGATGCCAAGATAAAAAGAGTTGGAGAAACAGGATCACCTTGTTTTACATCCCTTGAGGACTTAAAGAACCCATGAGCTTGACCATTGTTAGAATAGAATACCAATTGTTTGAAACTAATCCAAAGACAATCCCTATTAACCTTTCTGTGAATCCCATCTTTCACAGTACCTTTGTTAGGAATAGCCAAGATAATCTATCATAAGCTTTGGTCTTATCTAGCTTTAGGATGACATTAGGTCCAACCTTAGTTCTAAGCCTAATGTCAGTCACTATCTCCTGAGTTAGAAGGAAGTTTTCTACTATATTCCTGCCCTTAACAAAACCTGATTGTTCCTCCGATATCAGACTTAGGAGATATTTCACTAGCCTTTCATGCACGACCCTCGATATAACCTTGTTTGAAAAATTACTGAGGCTTATTGGTCTTAGATCAGAAAAAATTATAACTTTTTTTTTCTTGGGTAGCAGAACTAGGTTGGTGTGTGTCACACACTTGGGTAGCTCATGACCATTGAAAAAAGCCCTCACCATGTCGTACAGGTTATCCCCTATTATGTCCCAACAAGAATGATAGAATTTTCCTGTCATACCGTCTGGCCCCCCAGCACTATCACCATTTAGTCCGAGTACTGCCACTTTAACCTCCTCTTTTGTTAGCTGCTTAATCAATTCTGCATTCTGCTCAGTGTTAATCAGATTAGGAACACGCTCTAGGATATCAAATGATGAAAGAGTAGCTACTTCTGTGAACTGTTCCTCGTAGAATTTGATAGCCTCTTCTGCAATTCCTTGTTCTTCTTCAATCCATGTTCCTCTACTCTTTTGAATTCTTTTAAGCTGAAGTCTCTTCCTCCTACCTCTCACTTGTGCGTGAAAGAACTTAGTGTTCCTATCTCCTTCCTTGAACCAAGTCATGCCTGCCTTTTGTTGCCAATATTTCTCCTCTAGTGCAAGACATTTGATCAATTCTGCCTGAACCTTTTGTAGCCTTTCCGTGTTCATCCCTGTAGGATTTGCTTCAAATTCTGCTTCATGAACCATCACTACCTCCTCCATGCTTGCTATCTTTTGGAAAATATCTCCAAATGTAGCCTTACTCCACAGTGAAAGGGCCTTCTTTAGTTTTTTTAACTTATGATTAAAAAGAATATAAGGATTTGCACTGAAATCAGCTGTCCAATTCTCTTTCACCACATCTTTAAAAGTTGCATGTTCCACCCAGAAATTCAAGAACTTAAAAGGCTTTTTAATTGGTGGATTCTCGATATCACACTTCAGATACATTGGACTATGATCGGAACCAGTCTTTGACAAATGTTGCACCTCTATTCCTGGAAATGTTTGTTGGAACTGAAGATTGGCCAAGCATCTATCTAGCCTTTTGAATATACAGTCTTCCTCTGCTCTCCCATTCCACCATGTAAAAATGCTACCTTTAAATCCAAGGTCGAAGAGATTGCAAGTGTTGACGCAGTGTTAAAAATCATCAATTTCATTCAATGACACAGGTAACCCACCAAACTTCTCTTCTTCATCCCATATTACATTGAAATCTCCTCCTACAATCCATGGTGCATCCATATCCCTTGCCATTGCATATAATGAATCTCATAATGTTATCCTCTCAATTGCATCACACTTAGCATATATCAATGTTAGGACAACCTCCACATGCGATTCAGTATGAAACAATCTTAGTGTTAATTGTTGCACCATATTATACATAACAGTTACCTCAATACCTCATCTATGAAAGCCCAGATCTTGTTTGAAACATTTGAAATTGCTTGTGCAAGTCCTATCTTGTTTCTGTACCTTTCCAGTTTTTTTGCTTGTTGCTTTGGCTCCATTAATCCTACAAATTCATAGTGATTTTTCCTGTGCATTTTTGTCACCCTTTCAAAGACCTGTTGTGTGTTGACTGACCTTATATTCCAAATGAGAGCATCCATCACTAATTGTTTGATTTAGTTAGCGTTCTCCTTGTGTGCACCCCAGGTTTTGGGACTGCCAAATTATCTTTTTGTTGCTTCTTCTTACCTTTTGCTGCCGATTTTGCCTTTTCCACTTTCGTAGGTGATAAGTCACCTTGCCTTGCAGCATTCATAAGGTGTTAGGTAGTTGATTCTTGATCCATGTCGTATCCTGATCTACCAGGTTCTTCTCCTTCTTCATTGTCTTCTTTCCCTCCTGATGTAACTCCAAATGCATTCTTTTTAGGGACCAAGGCCTTCTTTTCTCCTCGTTTTAATAGCTGCAACAGGTTTTTCTCCAATGTAACAGTAACATTTACTATTTTTGTTTTGTCTGTTTCTCCTTCTCTGTTGTGTTGTGTCCTTGTGGGTCTTCTTGTGATTTCTGATGTTTATCTTCTTCTGTTCCTCCAGGATCATTTACCTCTGATCCTCTCATTATTAAAAAATTACCAGTTGTATTGTTGTCATTGGCATTGAGCTCTCCATTTACACTTTGCTCATCTTCTTCTTTGTCCTTCTCATTTGGTTCCTCGTCAGCTTGTGCTCCTAGTGGTACTTCGTTCTTCTCTGAATCGTATTCCCTTTGTGCATCCCATAGCCTGCCTCCACAGCCTTGCACTCTTTCTTTAAATGTAGACGATTTTGACCCTTCTGCTTGAGAATTTGGAGTTTTATTAAGTACCTTGTTCACTAATGTATCTTGTGATGGGATTTCCTGGCATGATGTATTTATCTTCACTATTCCTTCTCTTGTTTTATCCTTGAAACTTCTTTCTACCCATTGTGCAGTATCATTTTTTGCTTTTGATGCCTCCTTTCCATTGACTAGACCATTAGTGGAACCAATCCCCGAAGAGTTAATATGAAAAGCTTGTGCTGCTGGATTTAACTTTCCCTCGTTATTGACCATATTTTTTGGTTTTTGCTTCATAGATGCTTGGTTATGAAGTGCTGAACTGTTTGTTGTTGCATTAGCTGCCACCATTGCCAATTGACTAACAGGTTCTTCCTCTTCATCCATCCCTTGTAATATTGCAAACTTGTTAGCTACTTGAACATGATCATTATCTTCATTGTCTACTGCCACCAATTCCTTACCACTGTTGCTTAGTGCTTCTGCTTGTCTCTCTACAGTGCTTGTACCCTCCTTGTTCTTATTGTTTTCAAGCTGCTTAACTGGTTCCATCTCCATTCCATTATTATTGAGACTAGTATTTTGAATTACTACATTTCTAACTCGGTTGTCCTTCACTTCCTTCCATTGCTCTTTTGCTGTAACATTCACATTACCCACCACCTTTCCACTATATAACATCATTATAGGCTGTGAGTTCCCTATGTCCTGTTTCTTAGCTGTATCTACTTGGTTATCATTCTCCTTCTCCATATATAGTTCAGGGTGTATCCTCCAGCATTCAAATTGATCATGCCCTTGAAGTTTACAATGTCTGCAATATTTAGGCAGCATGTCATATTGAATTCTCACCCATTCAATTCTTGTTGTTCCTTTAGCTTCATTGAATATGTCCATCCTCACCTTTTTAGGCAAATCTGCAAGTAGATCAACTAGTACCTTCACCCTAGCACAACTAGGTCTAGTTTTATTAATTGTTGCCATGTCTAGATGCATAGGTTTACCTACTACTGTAGCTAGAGAAAATAGACATTCCTTCACAAAAAAGGTTGGCAATAGACCTGGGAATGAAATCCAAGCCATTGCCTTGGGTGTTTCTTCATCTGCTCTAAACTTTGAGTCATAAATCAATGGCCTAAGCTGATATTGATAGCCATCCCTGTCCTTTATGTAATGAGTTTTTGATGAGAAATGGATATAGTCGTGCCTTAACGTCATTCTAATCAAAATATGTCTATCCCTTAGAAATTCAGTGTTACATTCACCTTTAATTCCGCATTGAATTGGTATTAACTTATGCAGTTGTTGAATTCTAGGCTACCATAAGAACATTTACCAACTATTACATATTGTAATCCTTCGATGATATCCATCCTTTCTACTTTTACTTTTGTGAACTGAATAACATGTTCTCCATTCAATATTGTAGGTGGTCGAATGGGAATTGGCTCAACTTCCTGTTGCTCCTGCATTGCATCATTTAAAGTGCAAGGTTTCAGAAATTTGGAGTAATCCATCGGCTGTTTCTTGTTATTTGTGTTCTCTGATGTTTGTGCAATGTTTGGAGGAGGTTGTGTAGGCAGCGCAACCACCAAATGTGGCTGGCCACCTGCTTGTGTGTCCATTACAGATGTAATTCTTTAGCACTTTAATTACATGACAAAGTTGCAGCAGCTTTGCAAGAAAACGATGCTACTGTAATTCGAATTAGCTTCACGTTACTTACTGTTTATGGCTGTGAATCCAATTTCACAATCCGAACTGTAAAAAACAGTAATTTAGTTTAAAATGAAGCTTAGAATTCAAACCAATCTTAGAAGAGAAGAGAACACTTTCACGCTATCAAAACAAGTTGTTGTGCTGAAAAGTAGCGCTGGAATTAGCTGAATCGCTGAAATTGAATGAAGAACACTGTCTGCTACAGTAACTCGTGAAAATGAAATTAAAATCTACCAAAATTGACTATAGATCTGAAGTTGAAACCAATTGGGTATTATTCGTAAGGAAATTATGTATCTTTTGACACCAAGTTTGGTTAGTTCCACCACCGGATGCCAAAGTTATGACCGGAAAATGATGACGAAATTACTATTCCTTCTCTTCCTACATATGGGGTGATTACAAATAAGTATTTTCTTTTCAATAGGGTTTATTTGCTCTTAGCTTCTTGAATTTATTTTTAGATCTAAAAGTTGTGAAAATAAGAAAAGGAGTGATGAGTAAACAGGAAATGCAATTCATTCCTAGAAGTTAAGGACATATAGTCCTGAAGTCCTAAAGTTAAATTCAAAAGTTAAGGACATGGTCCTGAACTTAGAGTTTCAAGTTCAAAAGTTAAGGAAATGTAGTCTTGAAGTCCTAAAGTTAAGTTCAATAGTTAATGACACAAGTTCAAAAGTTAAGGACAGGCAGTCCTTAACTTACAGTTACAAGTTCAAAAGTTAAGGACAATAGGTCCTTAACTTTGATTTCCAAGTTCAAAAGTTAAGGACAGACAGTCCTTAACTTACAGTTACACGTTCAAAAGTTAAGGACAAGCAGTCCTTAACTTACAGTTACAAGTTCAAAAGCTAAGGACAATAGGTCCTTAACTTTGACTTACAAGTTCAAAAGTTAAGGACGCTTGGTCTTGAAGTTTGAGTTCCAAGTTCAAAAGTTAAGGACATGTAG